TTAACGCATTCTGATACAAGAAATTGAGCAGCTTTCAGTCCTGTTCAAACATGAAAATTCAGATCTTAGTCTGATTGCCTGAGTGTTTTAGAAATGAGTTTATAACCTGTGTTATTGCTAAACTTTGGAATGGAGATGGTTAACTTTTTAACCTCGTTGTCACTTGTTATTTGATGAAGTTCTTACTGTTGATTGTGGAGAGTGATAACTCCTCTCTACAAGGGATTTGTATGAATTTTGAGGAGAAATGATCTTTAAAATAATTGTTTCACATATTTAATCTTCCATCTCCCGTGTTTTGATTATGTTTTGATTATATTTTTGCCACTGTTTCTTTTTTTTTTTTTCCCTGTGCAACCTGCCTTGTTAAGTTAACCTCAGTTAAGTTGAGTTTACATTCTTTTCTTGTTGGACAAAGAGAGTTTTGGTTTAAGTAGTCTCTGTGTCCCATGTGTCAAATCAAGAAAGATAAATTGTTTCTTAATGTTATTCTTCTGTAAAGAAAAAATTTGATATATTAATGTCCGGGCTTTACAGTGATGTTGAAGGAAAAGCCTCTTTGTGGCAGAGCTGCTGTTTTATCCTCGGTATTTCACGGAAGCTTGGGGTTGTTTATGAAAGGGAATTCTGTGTCAAAGCTAGGATCTCACATTAAGGATGTGAGATAGAGCATCCTGAGGCTTGTCAGCTGGATCCGTTTCAGGAGGATGAGTTACAAGGCTTGTCTTTGCTTCCCTTCTCTTTATCGGTCCCCCAGCATGGGGGAAGAGGCTTGCAAGGCAGTTACTGCTTTAAAGGGCTGGAGCCTGGTCCTTACAGGTCCCTGAGGGCTCTGTGTCTCATGTGAACAAAATTCAAACATCCTCCAGCATGTGGAGGATGTGCACTCATGTGATGGGAATGCAGAAAAGATTGGGAATACATCATGCCATTTCGTGGGATGTTCTTGAGTGTCTGGATGCACAGCAGGCTACGCAAGCCAAACTTTGGCACTTGATTTGTTGCGTATTCTGTCATACAATAAATATTTTTGCTGAGATGCCCTGGCAAATAAGCATTTTGAGCCCTCACAGCAGGAATCAGTAAGATGAAGAAGAAAAAGAGGTAGTAAAAATCACTATAAATTAATTACTTGTCTTAAAAGAACACTTGTGACTAGAATCAGTAGTAGTTGTCTTTGCAATGCAGACTTTTAGTCAGTCATCTTTCATACTGAATGCTCTGTTAACTATTATGCAGCTAATTTATACAGAAATTTTCAATTACAATGTGATAAGTTTGATTGGAGAGTTTTATTCCATAGGATGTTACGTCTTTTTTTAAAATGACTTTAATTGGTTGATTTGTTGTTATTCAAGTTCAGTTGAGAGTTGTGTATCTGGAAGAATGCTTACTTCTCTTGTGGCTTCTACTTTTGTCCATGATTCTTTCTATGTCTCTATGTCTTTGTCCTCTTTACCTGTGAATTTTCAGGTGCCAAGGAAAGTCCAAAAAAAAAAAAACACAAACAAAAACCCAAACATAAAAGAATGGAAATTCCCCAAATCATTGGCATGTACCAGAGCATATATAATCTTGCATCTTGGTGGAGTCTGTTTCTATCTGCAAGCCTGTTAGGACTGAGGAATAACTAATCGTTTTGGTTTTCACCAGTATTTAACAATGTTAATATTTATTTTCAAGGAAGGGAGTTTAGCAATAGCAGTTTTGGTTGGAAAAAGAATTCTACTCTTGCTGTAAAGGTTTTAACCTCACTTCTTTGATTATTTACAATTAATATTCAGACTCACATTTATGTTGGTATAGCACTTATAGCACATATAAATAGACCTTTCTTATTTAGGATTTGTTTCTTCATTTTTAGTATGGCTGTGTGCAAAGGCATCTTTTCTTTTAGTATATTGAACTGAGCTTATCTGTATTTTCAGTTCTTCCTGCAGCAAGATGTTGGAAATTCTCAGTTTTCAGAATAGGAATATTGTTTGATTGAGGGTAATTGTTTTTAGGATGGCCTGGTGTACTTTTTCTGTAAGGATCCTTGATGTACTGTTCTCATTGAAGTAATGCCACAAGTTGTCAAGACTGGAAAAATTTCACATTCATAAAGGCATATAATCATGCTTGCTAATTAAAAATGATTCCTATGTACAGAGCAGTGACTGCTCAGTATATAAACAAAATAATTTTCATCAGCTCTGAAGGTAATATTGCTTGTTTGTATGTGTTTGGTGTTCAGGGAGCTGAAGGAAATTGCTTAAAAATGATTTTAGCTGTCTCCTATAACCAGAATATTTCTGTGTGCACATGCAAGAAATGACAGATGCTTCAATGGAGTTTTTATCTTTGCTATCTCTGGCAATATCTACTTTTTGCTAGCTAGCAGACTATGTCAGTAACCTCTAAGATTAAAGGAAGGGTGATTGTTGCTCACTTCAGTTTGCAGTAGTATTCTGTTCTTTTAAGATTTCATTAGAATTTAAAATTCAGTATTCTAAGGTGGATCCTTGCAGACTGTGGAGGTGTAATATATGCGATGATCTTTTATAAAACAGAGGTCATTTGAAATTGTCTAAAGCCAATTGACTCTAAAGAGTCAAGGGCATCCAGTCAGCTATTCGCTTTCCATCTGTGGATTATCCAGCCTCTGAGGAAGGGAGGTTGTGGGCTCCATGTGTGCCAGCAGCACTGTTGGTGCTCTCAGGATGCAATATTTGCTTGTTCACATGAGGCGTGCTTTTTAGTCCACCATGAGCAGTGTAAAAAAGATTGCTCACCTTTGCTATCATCCTCGTGCATTAACAAAGTGTTCAGGCAATCCAATTTTAAATACTTAGATGACCCACGGTTTGGGACTATGTGAACTGTATGAACCTTTTATTACTCTCGCAAATTTATAATAGACATGCTTTAAACAGATGGAGCTTAGCTGTTATATGCATTCTTTTTTTACAATTGCCCAAAATTTGTCACTGAAGAAAGCATGTATCAGCATTATTCATGTGTTTAATTGGAATTGGGGTAGTAAGAAAACGGAAGGCCAGTAACTAGAGGTGTACCCCAGGGGAACACCTTCATTAATGAGCTGGATGATGGGACAGAGTGCACCCTCAGCACACTTGCAGGTGACACAAAGCTGGGAGGAGTGGTGGACACCCTCTGAACACCAGGAGCACTGCTTTGCTGTGTGGGTGACTGAGCAGTGGCACAGGCTGCCCAGAGAGGCTGTGGGGTCTCCTCCTTGGGGATCTCCAAAAGCCATCTGGACGTGGTGCTGGGCATCCTGCTCTCTGGGTGCCTGAGCAGGGGGCTTGGACCAGGTGACCTCCAGGGGTTCCTGTCAGCCACAATCACTCTGAGTTTCTGTGAAAATAGTGTTTTCAGCTTTCCTATAGTGTTACTGTGTACACAAGCAAAGCAGAAGCAGTGTTTTCTATCTGTAGTTTATCAGGTGTTAGTTTTCTGGGAGTTATCATTAAGACAACCTGCATCATCTTCAGATCCTTCGTACTAAAAGAAAGCTGATCCCAGGGCGAATGAGTAAGTGAAGCATATTGCACTTGATAGTCAAGGTACTAAGTCATTTTATTGTTGCTGCAAGTTAATATTTGAAAGGCCGTAGAATCACAGAATCTCTAGAATCATTTAGGCTGGAAAAGACCTCTAAGATCATCTAGTCCAACCTTTTGGAGTTAGGCTTCGTAACAGTAGACTTCTTTCTTTAACAGTCTCTTATTTCCTACAGTATGAAATATACATGGCTTCCAAAGAAAATTCCACGTGAAACTTTTTAATATAAGTCTTTTTACATTCATTGCTAAGAAAGGCAGTTTATGAAATTGTGTCACAGTGCATTACTTGCAGGAGGGAATTGCTGTAGTCAGTTCAGTCCAATGTGAAAAGAAATGAGGACTAGAGCACCAGCCAGCTACACATTAGCAAATAAATACTGTGACATGTACGGCTCCACTATGATTTTTAGGCTTTGTCTGGAACAATGAAGTACATTTTGGAATAAATCTCTAATAGAAATATGTCAATCTGAGCATGACTTTTTAGTGTTTATATAATGCCTCCACTACTTACCTTTCTCTTAAATCAGGTTTTCAGTAACTTTTTCTTGCAAATACAGATTCCCTTTCAGGAGTCCTTCCTGCTCAACCCTTCCCCTCCCCAGACAAGACAGCAAATAACATCCTCAAAAATGGTAGACAGTGAAGTCACAGTAATATTAGTTTGCCTTTAATTGCCAGCAACAAATAGGCAGTTAACGTTGCCCAAGAAATAAAACACTTTGTTATCACTTCAGTGGCTTTGGAGTAGCTTGAGAAACATCACTGCAGATAATCAATTTAAAATTGATTAGGACATTAGGAAAAATGTCTTTACCGTTAAGGTAGTCAAACACTGAAGCAGGCTTCCTAGAGAGGTGGTCGATGACCCATGCCTGTCAGTGTTCAAGAGGCATTTGGACAATGCCCTCATCAATATGCTTTTTGGTTAGCCCTGAAGTGGTCAGACAGTTGGACTTCATCATCTTTCTAGGTGCCTTACAATTGAACTAGTCTCTCCTCTGCTTTTCATTAATTTCTTGTACCTAACAAGAATCAATCATTCTATTACCAGTTTGTAAAGTCTGACAGCAATCATTCTGTGATTTGAGAACTATATTTATCAAAAATGATCAATTGTTTTTGTCAACAAAATGTAATAGATGTCTATATTTAACATTATACTAGTAAAGATTTTGAGTGTAACAAAAACACAGCTTTTGTTTGTTGTGCGGTGTGCAGGTTTCACTCCTAAATGCTTTGTACTTAAGGGAAATAATGAAAACTGCATCCTGGCAGGTGCATTTGTCCCTTTTCTTAGGCTAGCCTCAAACTAATGGATTAAGGAAAAGAGCTGAAAGCTGCATTTTGTTTGGTCTCATTATAGTAATAAGAGATAAACGTGAGTATTCTATCTGTCAAGTCTCAATGTCCATCTGTCTGCTTTTCTAGGAGGTGATTTCCTGTCCTTTTTAAGAAAAAAGAAGGATGAACTGAAAACGAAACAGTTAGTGAAATTTTCATTAGATGCTGCTTCTGGTATGGCATATCTCGAATCTAAAAACTGCATACACAGGTAAGGAAAGTATTTTTTCCTCACTATTGTAATTTTGATAATTTGGAATACTGGCAGATGTGGTCTTAATAGCAGAAATGATCCCTACAATTAGAAAAAAGGCTACAGTTTTTCTGAATGGAAGTTATTGCTTGTCTAATTCAAAGGTGTTTTGTTCATATAGGCAAAAATAAGTGCTACGTTATTCGGTTTGCATGGTTTAGAGCTCTGAATACAGATGGAGAGTGATTTTTCACAACATGAGGAGCATAATTCGTATGGTAACACTGAATCATGGCAAAAAGAAATCTATGGAGCTTATATCCTCTCTGAAATGTACAGATATTTGCCAGACAACACAGAAGTTAAGGTATATTTACAGTGAGTTTCAGAAAAATCCACTGATATATCATATATTAAACAGATTAAAACTGGAGTTCTGCATATCAAATTATTATCCATTACCCAGAATGCTTTCTCCAAAATATGGAAGATGCTATTCTAATACTTTATTTCTTCTGGTAGCTTTCCTCTTCATATATATATATATACACATGTATATATATATATTTTTTTATTTTTTCCAAATTTGGCTCTGCCCTGGAACTGCTTATTCTCAGTGTGTATCAAACAGAATATGTAAGTGTACATAGTCTTCACCTATTTTTCTCTCAAAATATCACAGTATATCCCTGCTACAGTGCTATACCTGAAATACAAGACATAAAAATCATGGTAAACCACTTTGTAGGGTACAAAGAACAAATTTTCATTTGTAATATTGTTAATTTCCACTTTGCTTTGTATAACATTTGTAGATAAACTCTGTGCCACTTAATGTACATCGTATTTAGCACAATTCTAATGAATGCTGTTATTGGAGATGCAAAAAGGTGTTTCTCTCTGGTGTTCTGATTTGTCTTAAAAAACATTCCACCAACCACAGCAAGCTCAAAACCTGTTCACAAAATTTTACAGTGTTTTTGTGTCATTTTTATATTTTTCACTCTTTTAGGGGCTTGACTTGACCTAAGCAAGCTTAAACAGAATATTAATCTTTTTCAGTTCCTATTTTCCCTTCTTTTCTATCCTTGATGTTATTTGTTTTTAAGGTGTATTTACAAAGATAATAACTACGAATTCAGAAAATACATTTCAGAGAGCACATATATGTAGAAATGTCTTGCCGTATGAAGGTTTCCGTGTGATAAGTTTAGAAAGCTGAATACAGTTGTTGAGAATCTAAAATCAGGAAACAGCTGTAATCTAATCTGTTTTGCCTGTGCCTTAAACTTGCATACATTCTAGGTTACACATACTATTGTACATGCTGGCAAAGATAAATTTCCCATTCCCTTTTTAACCTTCAAAATCTTCACAGAAATTGATTATTGTTATCACAGATTATAATGGAAGATTATTGAAGAGAACTACCACTTTCCTTAAAGGCAGAAACAAAATTCTCAGTAGTAAACTTCTCCTGCAAAAACTAAGGTTTCAAAATGCAGCCAAGGAGGCAAATAAACTCTTCAGAAACATTGTTTACTTTTATGAAATGCTTAGGATAATAAATCAGAATATGCTTATCCGTTGTTATTTTACAAGTCATATTTTCAGGGATCTTCAAGACCTTATTCAGTATTATGTGGTTGGCCATAAAATGTGCTTGCTCTATTTATGTTCGGGATTTGATAGATAAATATAATGGAAAAATTCTGAATCAGGACAACAACCAAGTTTAGTAATTTTAGTTGTAAGAAGCACCTCTGTGGTTTGTGTTTGTTTTTGGTTTTGTTTTGTTTTGTTTTTTTGCTCTTTTCATGTCTGTTTGGGGAGCTTGAGCATTTGTCTAAGATTTCTGAGCACCCTGAGGGCTGGTTGGAGATGTATTTGTCAAAAATCCTGTCTGCCACAGAAGCACAGGACAACAGTTACTTGCTGGATACTCATGGTCTATTGCACGCTGGTGGATGCAACGCTCTGGAGCTCAGTAGCAGATACACTAAATAAGGGAGCAACAAGCTATCAGGTAGAAGTCGCACTGCATACACAGTGCTTCGTAAGCAAGCTCCTAGGTGTACAGGGCTCAGAACCCCACTGGAGTTTCAATCCCTTCATCAGTTGCACTGAAGGTGCAACTATGTGATAGCATCATCTGTAAGAGGAATATGGGAACCCTTGTTCCCTCCTCTTTGGGTCAGGTAACACCCAAGGGTCTGTTCATGGGTAAATTTTATACTGAAATCTTGTAGATTAGAATGGAGCAATTTATAGTAGGAAGAAGATGTAGCATTATGAAAAAGGAATATGAGGTTTTTTTTAAGCAGCAATAAACTTGTTCTCTTTTGTCAGAAATGTCATTAACTAAAAGTGGTTCTCAGGTTAAAAAGAAAAAAGAAAATTAAGTAGGGACAAAATGGAATATGCAGCACAATATTTTTTATTTTGATTAAAAGTCAGAAGGCTGTGATTATTGTTACTTAAGAAGAATCTTAAATAAGATATCATTAGAAATGCTTTATGTAGGTTGCAGAAAAGTGAAATTGTTTTCCTTCCATGCTGTTGATTTTCCACAATATTCTACTTGTTGTTTTAAACATTTGCTCAGAACTCTTACTTGTTTTTTTTAGTAATGTAGGTGACCATTATTTAGTGTCGTGTTCATTTGACTTACTGTTAATGTGTGTGAAACTAAAGATGGCTCAGCAGCTTATTAAATGATTTTTAATGCCACTTTTCAGATATAGCCTGTCTATCTATACTTAGCCTGTGTATTTTAAATTTATGTCTAAATCTGTACTGGCTTTCTGAAATTACTATCCGAGTCACGCTTTGGCTTAGTCTTTCAGTAATTGGGCCAGTGCAACAACTAATCTGCCCTTTGATTTTTATTTTTATGTGTGCTGTGGTGTTTCAGTAAGTGCAGGTATAAAGTTTAAATTTGTCAGACTTCAAATGCATAATGCCTGTGAGGGATTATTTGATCTGCATTTTCATCTCCTCTAGAGTCCAGAAATCACTTGTTCTTTGCTCTCTCTTTGTTCTGATTAAAAAGCAGAAATGAGTGGGCTTATATTAAAAAAAAAAAAAAAAAAAAAAAAAAAAAAAAAAAGGCATGAAAAGATTTTATTAAAAGAAATAAAAGAATGGTTGAACATACATAGAAGAATGCAGTTATTTCATCTCCATTTAATTAAAATGAGTTTAAAGAATTGTTTCCTGTTTTTCATTTTTACTTCATGCTATTGTTTAGATAGTTCAGTTTTTTTCTGTTAATTAGAAACACAAGATTAGGATGGAGATGTGATAACTTCAGTTGGTTCAATAAGCATTTATGAGTGATCTTCTTTTCCAGAATTTGATTTGCATGTGTTGAATGAATTTGTCCTTAATTTATTTTTAGTTTCCATACCTATCCCGTGCAGCTACCTTGTTAGATAATTTGAACATACTTGTTTATTTCATTATCCTTCCCCTTACAACCAACATTTCTTAATGAAAATAATTCAAATTACGGTAAAACTCAATTTGAAAAATATTTTAATACCAAGAAAAGCAATTATGTTTTGGATTTCCTCAGTTTTATCATTTGATAGTGCAACCTTTCAAAATCAGAGAGACAGGTCTAGAAAATATTATTTCTGTGTGGAAAACAGTGTTGTAGCTGTATCTTCAAGTAATACATATGTGATTCTAATTCAAGCTAACAGAAATATTTTTTTTTCAGTTAATTATTGTGCTCCTTGATAGTTTCACTACTTTACTTGAGCTGTAGATTAGTTTTTCCTTCCTGAAGAGCTTTCAGAAACAAGAACCAGTTTATTTTTAAAAAGAATAGTTTAAACGAGTTTCGAGATGCAGTATTGGGAGAGCACTATATTAAAAGTTAGAATCTTAAAAGTGATTAATTAATAAACATTCCAAATGACAGTTTTCCGCTAAGTTTAGCAGCAGTAACCATCATCTGTTCATCTACCAAATGTAGCATAAAGTTGGTATCAGGTTCAATTTACTTATTTTCAACATATGAGAAGATGTTGCCAAACAGCATTCAAGGTTTAGTCAAGTTTTCCTTTCAGTCAATGCAGTTAATGTTCTGGAAGTTTCCCGTACTCTGAATTTAAGATGTGTTCACTGGTAAGATGATCGTGTTCTGTGGTCCAATTCCTCTATCTTTATTCACGTCACTACTGCTTTTTTACCTTAATGCAAATACAGTATGATTTAATGCTGTTTTCTAGCAATTACAAACTCCACATTAAATTAAAAGTGGCTGGTTTAGCTTCATACTATGAAATCCTGGCTCTATGGATGTCAATTTGGTATTTCTGTAGTTTTGATTAGATTCGGGTGGTTTATATTAATTAATTGTAAATTACTAGGAAAATACTTTTTTCACTATTATTGTCTAGTTTGCAAGATACACTCTGTTCCCAGAACTTCTTTTTTTTCCACTTCAGCCTGGTACCTGCTAAGGTAAAGAATTTTGGAAAGATGTATTCCCAACCAGGAATGCTATTATTCATATTCCGAATAATTTAGTTAGTCTTTCCTTTCCAATGAATCTCTGTTTCTTTCTTGGACAGTAGCTCAGCTGCACAGAAAGGATGAAAATTATCCTATTTGGTTTAGTGGAGGTGCCATTCAGCTTAGTGTATCAGTAGTAATTTAAGTCTCCTTAGAAGCAGGAGGGAGATGGTTTATCTCAAAAGCTAAGCAGGTCTCCTTCCCAAGGGGTGGGGAGAATAAGCTGCTTCCTTGAATTCTGTACCCACATCCTGTGGAAGACAGGAGCCAAATACATGTCTGCAACTCCTTTCGTCTGTCTCCGAGCAATTCAGTGCTCAGCAGAATGTCTCTCTCCTTTCTGAAATGCCATATTCTCCTTGAGCACGTGTTTCCTTGAATACTGCATTTCCTCCTGGGACACAAAGAGCTTAAAAGTTGGTATTGAATACCTAAGATCTTTGCTGTAATTTCTGTAATTTTCTGTGCCAGTGATAACTTTTGAAGAAAGACTA